CCCCCCACCTCCTTTAAAAAAAAACTGTCGTGCTGGGTGTTTTGGGGTGGTGGAGGGGGGTCAATCGTTTATTCGATTATAGGTACACCCAGAAACGGCAGTAAAAATGTACAGTTCGACCATTTATTGCTTTTGATTCGTCTACTCATCGATGGTAACCTGGAGCACTATATTAGAGAGATGTGCAACATTAAAAGTAGTCGCAGTTGTTACAATCATGAAACATCATAAAGTATAAAGCCGTCAAAACCTCATTAGGCTTGTCAATGGAAATGTGTTTTGTGAAAAAGGAACTTAATAGAGCCTGTTTATTGTCTATTCTTCTTGTAAGGTGCAGTCAAATTGTGTGCAATTGTTTGTGCGTTCGAGGAACGGTGACTCTTCAATCATGAAAGCGTGATCTAATTTAGCTAAAAACAATGGTACCCCCCCCCCCCCCACACACACACAAATAAACAAACAAAAACAACATGTTATTTCCCAGGCCACACTAGTGCCGATATTCCATCTAGAAAGAGGATGCATACATTGTTTTCCGAAAGAGAACAGATAAATGAAACAAGAGTAAATATAAACCAAAACGTCTTGTGAACTGTGCCATAAAAGACGCTGGATACATTGTTAGAAAATTTAACATCCACTACCCATCCTCACTTCTTTTACTTCGTTGTGTATTTTATTGACCACAGGACACTTCAGCAGCAGGTATGACACCAGTCGTAAGTAGATTATTTATCACAGTCGTCGTACAGGTCGAAGAGAAAGAGTACCATTATAATAATATAATATGCTCCAACAGAAAGAAACGCACTCACGCAGAACTCACTGCAGTAGTGGTAGTTCCACGTCTAACAAACCATGCGTAGTACGGCGCTAGCAAAGCAGACCATCACCTTCATGCAATCACAGCACAGCACGGTGCGAACACACACGAACCCCCGACGAACGAGGAACAACTAAATACCATTTTTCCCCTTTTACTCTGTCGGTCGTGGTGAGCACTACGCGGCAATAGCTGGAATTGGCTCTGGCAGACAGCGAGTAGCAGGCACTGGTTGGGTGGAACTCTGTTATTCCACGCTACGTTCGTCGCTCCGACAAAAGACTGCCCGTGCTTAAAGAGTTAAGTTGAGTTTTTAGAGTGAGTCGTCGAGATATGGACGGGCAACTTGGCAAAGAGTAATCTTCGAGAAACGTAGTAAGACTAAAGAGAAAAAAGTGCAAGCAAGAGAGTTTACTGGATTTTTTAAAAAATGTGCTTGTGCTCGCGTGTATTTGTGTGTGTGTGTATCGGTGCGTGTGTGTGTGTGTGTTACTCTCTTATAAAACCTCTAATCTTCGACACTTATATTATGACCAAACAGTGTTGCAAAGTACCGTAAAACTCTTACTAAACTAATAACTTACGATGATTTATTTATGAAAATTCGTGTTTTTTTAAGGTGTGTAATAGTATGATGGTTCGAATGTGCCGTAACATTGCTTCTGGGCTGCTGCTGATCGGACAGACGTGTCCGTTACGTCATTCAAGTGTTAACTGCTACGTCACAGCTGACGCCATGGTCGCAAGAAGAGGGATGTCCAATCTTTTCCAAGTAGATTTAAATAAGATACGTGAGAAAATTATCTTAAGGGCTTGTTTATCTCATGCGCAGAACTGAATCAAAACACCACGTCAGCCCTGTGATGCATCGTGGAGAAATCAGGCGCTCGTCAAAATACTTAAATCAAAGAAATCGGCACTTTTTGGCTGAGGGGCATTTTTTTCTCTAATTTTCTTATTTTGGCTAAACATCTTTTATGTCCATTTCAAAGCACAATTTCATGTGATTTTACTGAAAAAACATTAATTAAAGGCAAACAGTTTTTGGTAAATTTTCAGTTTCCCAGGACTCTCAGACTATGGAAGTTACCAAACTTTGGCGACCATATTCTCGCTAATTTCATCTCTGAAACCAGGCGACCCTGACCTCCTTCAATTGCAAATATTTCGACTTCTATTCAACATAGATGGACATCTTTTTTTCCACCAAAAGGAACATTAATGTACCGGCTTTAAGATGATACCAATAACCCCATATGCCCTAAAACTAACGAGCGCCTGATTCCACCACGGCGTCAGTCTAAATAACAGTCAGTCGAACCATTGTCCAGGCAGGAAATAAACGGCCGTCTTACAAGGTGCTATTCTTATTTTTAAAAAACAACAACAACAAAACCAAAAAAAAACACCAAAAAAACCAAAGGGAGGACAATATGGGAAGTGGCCGTTTGTACAGCTGATTGTCTTCTTATGATAAACGGGGCCGTTTGAGAAGGTTTGACGGTGCTTCCATCCTGTCTTTATTAATTATAATATACGTGTAGTGTAAAGCGCATGGAGCTTGCTGTCGAGCGGGGGTATGCGCTATACAAATGCTATCTATTATTATTA